AATAAAGGAGTGCCTGCAATCGAAAAACCAGTTTAACGAGAGAAAACAAGATTCACTTTTTCAGAAGTTTGGGTTCAAAGGCTTGAGGCGATTCAGGTAGATCCTCTTTTCCTCCCTCTCGATCAAGAAGAAGAAAAAAGGAGGTTCTCCTCGCAGTGCAGGGTGGGCTTTCCGTTTTTGCATAATGACGTAATTAAAATTGGCTCTATTCTTTATATTATCATTCAGGTGAATATTTACTTAAGACTAAGAAATTTCAAGATGTGCACGATATTAAGCAAACTGTTTCGCTGCTAGATGGTGACAAAAACATAACAACTGTGCCAAACTGTGCCACATGTATCGCCGTTAACTTATAATAAGTCAACGAGCCCTTTGTCAGCTTCTACGTTCGCAAGATTTAGATCAACTTTCGCGGCTTAGAAGGATTGGAGTTTAAATGATCAGTAATATATCCAACGAAAACGTATGTTTCGCTAAGCTATGACAGCAAGTCCGTTTCGTAACCAACTTGGATCCTCCGTCAGTTGCTTAGAAATAGGGATTAACAAAAGCTCACCGAGAGAGCAAGTTCCGTGAACTACACTAGAGTCTGTTGATTTAAGTTAATGTCGCATTCAAAATCCGCCAGTGATTGGTTCTTTAAACAGAAAGCTAACTGGATGATTTCTGTGCCCTTTGTGGGATGAGGACAAGTTGATCCTTTTATGTTATAGACCCAATGTGTAAGATGAGCCTAAAATTATTCCCAAAACCCCAGTTTGTCTTAAATTTGTAGTTTGCTTTATTTGATCAAGTTCCAGATCCTCTTGCCTTGTTTCCTCTCAACTCCACTTTTGGTGGCAAGGAAATCAAAAACAGAGTAGCCGAAGGGCACGCGAGTGGAGTTACTTTAGCTCCCGGGCCCGACGGGGTAGCCGGTGGCTCGCACGAATTTTCCGGATCTCCGAACAGTTTTATCGAGTTTCCTAACAGTAAAGGGGGACCACTGGACGTTCGTTACTCGATAACAATGCTTTGTTGGGTGTACCACAGTGGCCAAGACGGACCCCTCTTTAACTACATGCCCGATGGAGTCTGGGGAGTACACCTATGGGCGATTGATGGTCAACTGTTTGTTCGCTTCACAAAACGGGACTACTCATTTACCATCAGCCTATTGCACACCGCTCTAGCTGGTGGATGGAAGTTTGTTGGCGCTACATACGACCGCAGTACCGGTGATGCAAAACTATGGGTCGATGGATTCGTAGTTCAGACTCTGAACATTGGAGCAGGACTGGACCTAGCCACTCAGGACAGCATAAGGATGGGAGCAAAGAATGGTGATAGCAGGTACTTCAAAGGAAGGATCGCTCAGATGCAGGTATACGACAAGGCCTTAACTCAGGAACAAATACAAGTGATACAACAACAAACTGAAGCTGTCGGTGAGTATTCATCGTTTAGAACTGACTGTATCTACGATCTTTCTTTGGCTAAGCGTCGTGTCGAATGCTGTGTAAACGACATTGATTGTTGGATGGATGGTGAACAATGGTCTTAAACTCAACCAGGATAACACTGAACTTATTCTCATCAGCTCAAAATTTCGCCGCAGGCCTTCTCTAGAGTTTATCCAAGTGGTTGATGAGAAGATCCAACCAAACCCTCCACCCGAAATTTGGGGGTGATTATAGATTAGTGTCTTGATTTAACCGACCATGTTAACAAAATCTGCGTTTCCTGTCAGTATCATTTAAGGAACATAGCTAAGATCAGGAAGTACTTAAGTGAAGATACCTCTCAAATTTTAGTACCTGCGTTTATTAGCTCTAAACTCGATAACTGTAACTCTTTGTTACATGGTCTTCCTAAGCACCTGTTAAACAAGTTAAGACTGACACAAAACACTGCTGCACGCATTGTTACATTATCTAAGCAATTTGACTATAAAAAAATTATCACTCCTATCCTGTTCAAACTTCATTGGTTGCCGCTGGGTTATGGCATACATTTTAAAATTTTGCTCTTAGTTTACAAATGTCTAAATGGCTTGGCACCAACTTACCTATCCGAACTTTTACGCTACACTAATGGTCCACGATTACTTCGTTCTAGTTCCCAGAATTTTCTAGCCGTGCCTAGGACTAGGTTAAAGACGTATGGTGATAGGGCTTTTTCTGCAGCTGCTCCTAGGTTATGGAACCAATTGCCCTCTGAACTCAGGCGTGTTACATCTGTCAACCAGTTCAGGACGAAGTTGAAGACATAGTTATTTAAATAAGCCTACGATGTTTGATTTTGGTAGCTTTATTTAATTTTTATTTTATCTTATAACAGTTTTTAACTCTAGTTTCTTACCATATTATTGTACAGCGCTTTGAGCAATTAGTGGATACCGCGCTATATAAGTGTCTATTATTATTATTATTATGATGATGATGATGATGATGATGATGATGATGATGATGATGATGATGATGATGATGATGATGATGATGATGTGAGGAGAGAAAAATGTCCCGTGGAAGCACCCAAGTTTCGGGTACCAAACTGGTTATTTTCAGCGTGATGTTCAGTTTTTATAACAAAATTTTAAACCCCTCCTTGACACCTGTCAGGTTTTAATTTTGAGAGCGAATTTAAAGAACAATGGTGCGCTGGTATGCTCTGGCATTCTCCAAAAATAAGTCAGGCCAATAACTTCTTATTCAAAATTTTACCTTAAAAATAACAACATGGACAGTGAAATTAAGATTTATCAATTCAAAATGGTTGTCATCTTGGCTGTCGTGCTGCATTTTATAGTTACCAAGAGCAATAATGGCTCTTGATTTTACTTAGAACATAATGTCAGTACAAACTAAACATTTTTCGAGTAGTTAGGAGGTCTAAGATATTTTATTACAACGTATGCCTTTCGCTGCTTTTGAACAGGAGCCATAGTCGATTTGCACTAAGAAGAAAATCAATGCCGGGAAAAATAACAGATACATCGAGATATAAAAATTCAAATAACTTTCAACAATTTAGTTCTTAGAATTTCTTATCAACAGTTGAGTGTTTTGATCAAATAATCGGTTCCTTTAAATGTTATTAGTCTGACCTGGGACAGAAACATGCGCGAACTTTGGTTATGACTGATGTGTTCACCTACTTTGTAATGTAGCGGAGTATTACATTTATTTTGTGTTGTTTTCCTTGGTGATATCCGCTTCCAAAAGATGTAACTGTGCTGACATTTTTATGATGGGGCGGGGGATGGGAAGGGGGAGCTCTTCTTCAAACGATCTTCAACTGATATCTATTTAATGGAGCCAAAACCAACTGTATTGGACGGCATTTTTGTCATCATACTACATATGACTTAAACACTCACCAAGCGCGAGGTCAAGATGGTAGGATGTTGGCCAGTCCTTTTTTTTTGCTGCAACTGTGCCGTAACATGCCGTATCGATGTCGTTAAAATTTTGAAAGTTACTGGCAGCCCGCTGCCCGGCTTTCATGAACTCTGAAAAGGGAAATTAAGGAAAGCCAATTGGTTTGCTACCCAAACCGGAAAACAATGGTAAACAATGAATTACCATTGTTTAAAAGAACGAATCAAGAAAGACCTTACGAGCAGCTCCTAAATTGCCGCCGGGGAAAATCAATCGTGTTTATATTATTCAAGCCGGAGATCCTACGCTCCTCCTTTCTGTGTGACAGCTATTGACGGCTTGATTATCGCTCAGTTTACATATTCCTTAATTTTCAACACTTGAACTTCTGTCTAAGACTAAGTCTTTTAAATAGGTCATAAACGACCGGAATAACTAATCGAAAGAATAACCGGGATCCTTCTTTCTACAGTTGCGTTATCATGCACCTACTTAAAGAACAGAGACCCTACAGCAAAAAGTGGATATTACGACATTGATCCAGATGGCGAAGGAGATCTGGCACCATTCTCAGTGTACTGTGACATGACTTACAAGAATGGAATTGGCGTGACTGTCATCAGTCACGACAGTGAGAACAGGACTCATGTGAAAGGATTTGAAAACCCGGGTAGCTACTCACGTATCATTAATTACAATGGAGCGAGTCTGTCTCAGTTGGCCAATCTCACCAGAATCTCCTCGCACTGTGAGCAGTTTGTAAAGTATGACTGTTATAAATCGAAGATGTTCAGGAACAGCGGATATGCTTGGTGGGTGTCACGTGATTCCACTAAGATGACATACTGGGGTGGAGCATCACCTGGCAGTGGTAAGTGCGCATGCGGAATGACCAACTCATGTGCAGAACCCAGTGATGTCTGTAACTGTGATAAGAATGACGATGTATGGCGTGAAGACAGCGGTCATCCTCACCGACAAGACAAAACTTCCAGTAATAGAGCTCAGGTTTGGTGATACTGAAAACACGAAGGAGGAGGGCTACCACACCTTGGGAAAGTTTATGTGTTACGGTACAGCATGATCACCTGGATATCACTCATAAAAAACTTGTTGTCAGTTGTTATCATTATAATTCATTGTTATTGTTGTGACACTGAACTTGTAAATCAGTTACGTATATTTAAGCGCAAATGAGTTGATGGCATTTCTTTATTTTGTTTTTGATTTTCGTGTTGTTAAAACAAAACTAAAATCAATAGCAAAAGATTAACACCGATTTTGCATAGGGTTGACTCTGAAAAGCTTCCACTTGTATTTCTTTACTTATCTCGTTATAACTTATACTTTAATTTTGGTTAACTTTTTGTACGTAGTCGAAAAAAATCAGTCAGCAGTTTTGATAAAGAAAATAATTTTAAACTAAAAGGTTGGTTCAGTTTAAAAATACGTGTTTAACTTAGGTTTAAAACGGTAAATATATGTATATAGTTTTGAATAGCGATATAAATGAGTTCAGTACATTTTGAGTTTACTAAACATGATAGCAGTAGCTAAATAGTACTCTTTATTGCTTTTTAACGCAGTATCAGATATCTTGAGTTATTCGAATAAACTTCGTTTTCAAGCGCCAATTGTTCAGTTGCTGTGAGTTGGCAGTGCTTTAATTGTAACTTACTTTTGGGACAGCTTTTATTCAGTTCGGTTCTCTTCAAGAAACGCTTTTCTCTCGTTGCACGCTAGTCATCTATCTCTCCCGGGTCTCTCACTGTATGAGCTGTATATGTATGTCTCTCAAATTAGTTTCCATGTGCAATCGGCTCATTTCCCTGGAGCGTGAGGAACGATACGAGGTTCATTCCGGTTTGTCACGGATCTTACGGAGACTAAGGAATCAGAATTAACTAAAGTCCTCTAACTGATATGTAAACCGCAGTTGCGTAAACAGTACATTCTCAAACGTCTCTCGCGTTCTCTATAGCAAAAATGGAAAGTCCAATACATCGATTTAGCCAGGGCTAAAAGCGAAGCTCTGGTTAATTATACGTGTAAACAAAAAAATAAATAAATAAATCGTGTAATGCTAAACGGGGAAGACAATGAAACTGGCTTCAAGACTAATAGATCTAATTAGCAAAAAAAAAAAAAAACAAATTGCCCGTGTAACACACTTTTTCTACTAATTAGCAAAAAACAAATTTGCACGTGGCGTGCAGCATGCTCTTTTGTCTTTCCTTTGCCGTTGTTTTGCACGCCTACAACGCTGTTTTGTACGAATAAAACGTCAAACGTCCTTGCTACACATTATTTTTAAGGAGGAATTGTCGTATGTGCTTACCCAATATTTTGTTTCCTGTGTTCATGCATTTTCACCTTGCTGGCCGCTAGTATTTGTCATTTTCTCACGGCCGCCTTGATGTTCCATGTTTTTCTTCTTACGAAATTGGTTTCCTTTGTTTTCAATAACTCGCTCCAGCTCTTTCTCTGTTATCCACGTTAGTGTAAACATTAAAAAAAAAAAACGCGAAAAAGACACGACTTTGTTGTTGTTTTTTCTTTCTAACAGTCCGGGCGGCCATGTGATTTCCTTCCAAATAAAACCTTGAGCTGCATTTGGGTTGCCATACCTGTTGATTGAGTTATTTTACATTGGTATGCCTGTGGTGCGGACGGACGGTCGGGCGGGCGGGCAGTCGGTCGGTGTACGGTCACGTGATTACCAAATTTACTGAGATGGGTACATTACTAGTCCAGTCAAATTGTGGTTTAGCATCAAACTAATTGCAACAGAATTTTTTTCAACGCCATTTCTTTGTTAAATGGCTTTGTAACAACGTGCTAAAAATCCGCCAAAATCGGTTTGGTGAAACATGAGAAAAATTGGCAATAAAGACTTTCAACTTTCACCACAGGAAACCCAATTTCAGGAAGATCACAAATTCAGATAAAACATTTGATAATTGTTTTTTTTTTCCTCAAGAATTTTCTATACAACATCGCCAATGTATTTTGGGTAGTTTTGGCTTAAAAACGCCGACTAAATGTGTGAGAAACACCTGGGTCAGTGTTTCGTCTTGACGGCTTTGCACAGGTTATCCAGCCACTCTTTTGTCTTCACATTCTGTTTTCCAAGCTGTATTTTTTTTTTTTCTATAACGGTATTTAAAAGGGAAATTGTTAGTCAGTCTGTATTGACATGATTAAATATATTAGTATTTTTTGCTCAATATCAGAAATGCAGAAAGTATTTTTAGTTTTGCAGGCTTGTAATTTTTTTTATATCCTGCAGCATGGAATCAAATTTAGTAGCTGACTGATGGTGAACAGTTTGATTTGATATTCCATGTATAAGCCCCTCCAAATATAAGCCCCCCCCAAACTCGTAACGCAAAAAACCCTCAGTTAAATCGCCCAACAAATTTAAGGCCCCCGGGGACTTGTACTTGGAAAATTGACCTCAAAACAAAGTAAAACAAAGCAAAAACGGTAAATTTACTTCCAACTATAAGGGTAGCCCAATCGATTTTGAAACGCAAATTTCCCTCCGTAGATAAGCCCCTCCGAATATAAGCCCCTCAAAAAGGGCCTTTGAAAAATATATATAAGATCTACTACTCCAATTTGAATCTGCACATAGCTATAGATAGAATTAAGGAAGATGGGGAAGAGACATCGAGGTGGTATAAGACAAATTTTCTGCAAGGCAATTGTAGCAAATACCAAGCAGTGGCTATAGCAAGGGACACACAACAAATGGAGCTAGTGATTGATGATTGCAGAATTAACTTTACCGATGCATTCAAACTGCTAGGCATAATTATTGATAAAGACTTGAATTTCGCGCAGCATATATCAGAGGTCTGCATAAAAACCAGTAAAATGATTGGTGTTCTTCAAAGGCTAAAGAATCTAATCCAGATGAACGCAAAACTACGGATATATAAAACTGCAGTTTTACCCCATCTCACATACTGTAGCTTGGTGTGGCACTTTTGTCGTGCAAGTGAGAGAAACAAGCTAGAGAGAATTAATGAAAAAGGACTACGTACAGTCTTCAAAGATCGAGTCACTTCTTATGGTGAACTTCTTACACACGCTGGAATGACTAGTCTATATAACATGAGATTACAAGATATCGCTATCTTTATGTTCAAAATAAGGAATAGATTACTGCCTTACAACATACTAGAACTCTTCTCGTCATCGCCTTCGAACTACAACCTGAGGAGCTCGGACTTTCACGTTCAAAGGGTAAAAACTGTTAAATATGGAAAGCATTCCCTCAGATTTTTTGGGCCATTTTTATGGTCAAAATTGAGTACGAAGGACAGAAACGAGACCTCCTTAAGCAGGTTTAAAGCAAATATAAGGAGAAAAGATCTGAGCAAATTGATTAGTGATGGCGCATGCAAAGGGTGCCACCTGTGTGACTCATAATTCATAAACAGAAAATATCATAACTAGAAGAGTTGATATATTATAAAATTGTATATATAGTTTTTTTCTTATTTATTACATAGGTGTATTTTCGAAGCATATTGAATATCGTGTATCTTTTAAGTAGTTTGAGAATAGCTAAATCTTATTAGCTTATAGTATTATGTATATATATTTCTTATTAATAAGTAATGTAAGTAGTGTCCCCGATTAGTAGGCCTCAAGGCAAGATAGAAGATTAGACACTTAAATAAAGTTGTTGATTGATTGATTAAGCCTCGGGCCTTATTTTCGGAATTTCACGGTATGTACGACATTAATAGGCTTGCCTGACTTAGCTTCTGATGTGTCACCTCTTTTTGCGGAACCCGTGTTTCTCTACGGATGAGCGTTGTGTAACACTTCAACTTACTGCAAGTTAACCTTCTGACTGAGTTGCGTGAATTATGCTCTGCGTGGGGAATTTGTATTACTCCAGAGACTCTTACAAGATATTTTTATACGCATTGTTTTGGCAACCCAGAATTAATCTTTCCCTTAAAAACCGGCTTCCCTATTATACGATTTCGTTTTCTTGAAACAAACGTTTGCTAGAACCAAAGTTCTTATGCGATGAATGTTCCGTTAACCTTTGAGAAGGTAACAACGCTTTTCCTTTAATGAAAAGGCATTTCCCTCTCATCAAATTCATGAGCACTGGAGCTTAACCCGTTCAAAAACTCTGCATTGTTGTGCGTCGTGAAGAAAAAACTATCCTCCCCCACTCTCCAATTCACTTTTAACAAGAAGAAAATGAAAAGCTTCGAAAAAGTGAAACTTGTATATTTGAGGATGCTGGTACGTTAACAAAAACTGATGTATAGGTAACCGAAAAAGCCAAAGCATTATCTTGCTGGATGTTTGAAAACGTACCGAACGAAAATTGCAGTCTTTTCACTGAGAAAGAGACCAAAAGGCGAAGGGAAAATGAGCCCAAAAATCCTCCCAGTAAAGAGCAAGGAAAGGAAAAATAGAAAGAGCGAGGAGAAAGAAAAGAGGAGAAGAAAGAAGAACAATGGCTGCACTCTTAGTTTTTATGTTGACTTCTTTGGAGATAGTTGTTGAAAGAAAAAACTGTTTGACAGGAGAGCTCTATTTTGGCTGTAACGTTATTCAGAAATCCAGCTCTGATATATATTTTTCTTACCCTTGCGGCTAACTGAAATCTGATAAAAAAGATTTCTTTTAAAAGCTAATGATTAAGTAACGGCTTTCATTTTCCAGATTTAAAGCCTTACGACTAAATGTGTTGTAGTTTTACAGCCAACAGTTCATTCTATTACTCTGAAAGCCTCCTATTGTTTTGGGGTTCCTTGAGTGGAACATGGGCTTCCTGTGCAAAAGCCAACCGTGTTTGATATTTATCCCTTTTGAAAAAAAGAAACACTTCGTTTTTACCAGCGAAAACTAGGTAGCAGTTATTCTTTCTTGTTTTACTTTTCCATAAAAGTAACAAACACACTTTGTGCATTTTTTGTTTAACCATATAATTTTAACTAACGTTGGTGCCCTGTGCTAAAGCTCAAAATGTTTAACGCTTA